TTAATATATATATATATATATATATATATATATTAATATGTTCTATGAATAAGTGTAACTTAAGTGTAATATTTGTAGGGTAATTTAGGATAATTATTTATAAAAATTAATATTTTTTTAGGATAACTTAAGTGTTTTAGTTTTATTATAATTTTTTAAAATATATTTATATAAAAATTAATATTTATTTTAATATATCATGTAAATGAGTGTAACTCTGGGTGTAATGACTAATATAAGTAAATTATGGTAAGGAAGGAGGAGGCGGGGGTGAGGCAGGTGAACGAGAGAGGAGGGGAGGTGGTGGAGGTGGCTGAGAAGGGAATTCAAAGGCGAGAGCGAGGAGGTTGTAGAGTGGGACGAGGAGGATGAGGAAACTAAGGGAGGGGTAAGGAGGAAGAAGCGACCGAGGCTGAAGAAAAGGTAGCAAAGTGGGACGAGGAGGTAGTGGAGGACGTCGAGAAGATGGAGGTAATTTGAAAATAAAATTAATGGAATAATTTGAAAAAAAAAGAGATAATCTACGATTTAATAGGAATAAATTAACTACTTAAACTTCTATTGAACTGGTCTAGTCCGGTTCATGACAAATAATTCGATTCAACCCAAAGTCAACATGGTCAACAAATATCGACTATCTTTTTTTTTTATTTTATAAAAAAATTTTGGTCATAATATGAAAAATGGGTTTCCTTTAGTAAAAACTAAATATGAGGGTGTCATTTGATAAAACCTGAGTTTTTTTTGGATAAATTATTTATGCTTTAACACATTTCAAATATTTAGATATTATATCCCTTGTTGCCTCGGCCTCATTGCCTTTCACCAGTCATCGGACCCTCTTTATACACCATTCTTCTCTCGTTGTCTTCGCTTAACTCTCTCTATCTCTATTTCATATGCATACCCTCCCAAAACAATTATGAAGCCATAGTTATATCACAGGTTAACACCATAAGGGCTATGGTAGATAGGGACGTCAACGGTACAAGATAGAGAGTACTTTCTTCATCCCTATCTCATCTCCCATTCTCCACTCCTATCCCCATCACATTCCTCATTTAGATGGGGCGAGGACAGGGATGAAAAATCCTCATTTGGAGTGATGAACCAGTGAATTCTTTATATTATTTTAATTAATCTATTTTACTTTTTTTAAAAATAAAATTATTATCAAAACTAATTAATAATATTAAAATTCATAAATAATAATAATATTTATAAAGTTTATACATCATAATAATATTCAAATATAAATATATCCAAATATAAACAATAATATTTGTTGATATGGTATCATTTGATTCAATTAAATAAAATAACTCGTAATTGATTCGCAATCGACTCAACCAAGACTCAACTATTTGAATCAAGTGTATAAGTACGGGACAAAGAGGGGAGTGCTCTACCCATCCCAACCCTATAACTACGTAGGTAATAAAAAATATTCTCATCCTCGTCTGTTAGGAGCTAGTCCCTACAAATACTTATATCTACGAGTATTATTGATGCTCGTACTCATGGGTACTATTGGCATCGAACCACAAATATAAGGGTGGAGGAGGCCGCAAGGGTTGTGGTGGAGAGGTGCTTGGAATGTTTGTCGTAATCTTCTTTCCCATAGTCCTTATAGTATTCTCTCATGAAAATGACAAAGATGACGATAGAAGGGCAGTGCATGGGGAGGAACTTGCCGAACTTGCCACTAGTGTGACAAAAAACAATAAGATCTCGTGATGGATCGGAGGCAATCAGGTGATAACGAGGGATATTAAGAGCATTACAAGAAATATAGACATCAAATGGGAAGAGTAAAAATAGAGGGCATTTTTTAAAGAAAAAAAAAAAGAAAAAGCAAGAGCTTTTACTTATAGTATCATATCAACCCAGCCTAAAAAAAAAAAGTTTATACTAATTGTTTTTTTTTTCTAATGAAAATATTGTCATGCGGTATTTTAAGAGTCAAACATGAATCGCTGTCGTATCTATGGCTAAATTTGCTTTCTCATATGTTAGCCTTTTTGTCCTCCCACGACTCGATTTGCTTCAAAACATTAGCTTTTCTCTCCATTATCTCTTGTAGCTCCTCCGGATTGAATGGTGGGGGAATTCTGCACGGCTCTGCTTCCTCTGTCCGCTTCTCCATCGACTCCATCAGGAGCTTCTTGACGATGCCCGTGGCAGGACAAGCCACAGACTCCAAGCAGAACTCGATAGCTTTCTCCGGCACAGTAGGCTTGTACCTCAACAGCTTGGCGTATTGGATTAGTAGATGTAGCATGTAGTCATAGACGTACTCCATCTTTACTTCTTCTTTCATGTGGCTGCTACCTACTGTTCCCATGGCTTCTGCCTGTTAGTTCTACGTTGATCAGAAACACACAGGTTCTCAGGTGCAAGAAGACTGGAGAAAGGATGCATACCTCCTCTTGGTGCTTGTTGCCCCAGTCGACAGCAAACTTGATCGAGCTGCACTTGTCGTCTTCTCTTATGGGCCAGTAGTGCCGCCCTGGCATCAGACCTCTGGAGAAGAAATCATGGAAGCGAGTCCTCACAAACAGCGCAGGCGAATCACACGCTAAGATGTACTTATTACTCACTGACCATGCCCGGCCTTCCACAAAGATCTTATACCTGCACGCCATCACAAGCCTGAACCTAAGAGAGGAGAAGAGAGAAGGAATGTAGGAAGGATGAGAAGAACAACTCGCCTATACTTGCATTGGCTTGCCAGGTTTGAGTTATTGTAACCTTGCCTCTTCTCACTGTCCCAGTTCTACAGCAGAGTACCAGCCAGATTGAGTTGGAGCATATATCGTAGAAGTAGCAGATGCAGTGTTGTGTGGCGTACCAGTGCGTAGAGACGAGCATTCCAGTCGTGATGCTTGGAGACGTTGCACCTCATGAGATCGCTCCTGCTATCAGATACCCATGGATTGCCCTTCCAGTAGGCATATGGCTCCCTGTCTCTCCATTTCACTCTTCTGTTCCCTTCTTCCAGCTCCTTGACCAGGGTCCTCCATGGCTTTATATTGACCTCAGCCCTTCCAGTCACCATTACAGCTACTTAGAACAGAGGAATCTAAGGACAAAACATGGCAACAACATCTGGAGTGGAGTATCTCGCGCATGAACTTATTACCAACCCCAAAACGACCAATCAGGGAAGACGATGTCCAGTGTCTTATCATCCTTGCAGTACCGGAAGAGTGGAGGCGGAGGTGACGACCGGTGGCCGGCTGACTTGACGGAAGGCGTGTCGTTGCAGTTGAACATGAGATCGATATCGGGGATGCGACCTGGATATCGATTAGCGAGCTGGAGGAGGCCCCAAAGCGTGAACACGTCTCTCGTCTGGAATCCTCCTCCATAGTGCTCCACGTAGACCCGGCCATCGAGCACCACCAACCGGAAGGTGGCGAACTTTTGAGCACTCTCCACCATCTCCCTCGTGATTCCTGTGGTTTTCCACGGCCGTAAGTCCTCGTAAATCCATCGGAAGTAGTCGGGGCAGGAAGCAGAGGATTGGGGCATGGTGGGGGGGCGAGAAGGAACAACTGATGCAGAGACTTGTCTTTGGCAGATTGGAACTGCCGTTTGATTTCCACAGGTCAAGGCGATAGGTTTTGGTTGATGTTTCGGCGCGGGGTGTGCACTGTGGGAGATGTTTGATTTGAGAGCTTGTGGAGTCATGGTGGTTACCATTCTGTAATCCTGCATTAGCAGAAGAAGTAACAATGATGTTATTGCAAGTGTAAATCCAAAAGGTAGAGAAGAAGAAGAAGATCCAACTGCACTCACAGAGATGTTGGCGATCCAAAAGGTAGAGAACACAAGAACTAGCAAGGCGAGGAAGATGACAACGACTCCCATTGTCGACGATCGTATCGTGGCCGCGACGCGGTTCGATTTGTTCTTAAACGCTGCAAACATCGCCTCTAATTCACGCAACCCATCTGAGTACCCTTCTAATTCTCTCTGTGCATCAACCATCGGTTGATAATTGCAGGGAGGGAGAAAATGGAAGAACAAGTAACTCGAGTATTTGGATCGAGATTTCTTATGAAATCATGGTTTCTATATGTCTATTAAATTGTTTGATATCATTCCGATATGGATAAGCTGTTTTATCCATTCATGATATTCGAGTATATGTCGAACTTATCCATCCCAACTTCTCCGTTGGCCTCAAATTCTGATCATATAACAAATGAATACAATCAAGTTTTCTTAGGTCTTCGAATCAAATCAAACACCTTTATTCCAAGCTTGGTGCTGCCACAATTCCACTTGCGTCACGGCGTCAGCTTTCTTCTCCCGCACCACTTGGAGCGCCTCCGGATCGAAGGGTGGAGGCATCGCGCACGGCTCTGTGTCGTGCGTCGACTTCGCCATCGACGCCATCAGGAACTCCTTGACGAGGCCGGTGGCAGGGCAGGCCATGGACTCGGAGCAGAGCTCGGTGGCTTTCTCTGGTACGGCGGGCTCGTACCTCAGCAGCTTGGCGTACTCGGTTAACAGGTGCAGCATGTAGTCGTAGACGTAGTCCATCTTTAGCTCTTCCTGCACGAAGTTGCTGCCTGCCCTTCCCATGGCTTGTGCCTGCAAAGCTTCCGTGATTGAGCGTCTCGTAAGATTTGGAGCGAGAAATGCATGTGATGCCTACCTCCTCTTGGTGTTCGTTGCCCCAGTCAACTGCGAACTCGATCGATCTACACTTATCGTCCTCCTTTATTGGCCAGAAGTGTAGTCCTGGCATCAGAGCTCTGGAGAAGAAGTCATGGAAGTGAGTCTTCACAAAGAACGCCGGCGAGTCGCATGCTAGGATGTACTTCTGGCTCACTGACCATGCTCGGCCCTCGATGTAGATCTTGTACCTGCCATTAACGAGAACCTCCCCCGTAAATATAGCATGCGAGATTTCATTTACAGGTAAGAACAAGCGGAGAACAGGAAGCAACTCACCTGTGATCACATTGGTTGGCCAGGTTTGAGTTCTTAAACCCTTGATTGATCTCCCTATCCCAATTCTACGGAGAAGTAAAATAATAGAAAGCTCAGAAGCATCTCAAGCAGTGTTCTTGATCCAGTCTTTGGTGTCGTACCTGATCATAGAGACGAGCCTTCCAGTCGTGATGTTTGGAGAGGTTACACTTGATAAGATCCCTTCTACTGTCGGATACCCATGGATTGCCCTTCCAGTAGGCATACGGCTTCCTGTCCCTCCATTTCACCCTTTGATTTCCTTGCTTCAGATCATTCGCCAGTGTCTCCCATGGCTTTATATTGAGCTCAGCCCTGGCAGCGACAACAGCAACAAGTTACACATCGCAAGACATTGTTTCAGAACACGCGGCAAGATTGTGGATGAGCCCATTACCAGCCCCAGAATGACCAGTCCGGGAAGACGATGTCCAAGGTCCTGTCGTCCTTGCAGTAGCGGAAGAGAGGTGGAGGCGGCGATGACCGGTGGTCGGCCAGCTTCACGACGGGTGTGTCGTCGCAGTTGAACATGAGGTCGATGTCGGGGACGCGGCCGGGATACCGGCTGACGAGCTGCAATATGCCCCACAGGGTGAACACGTCTCTTGTCTGAAACGCTCGGCGGTAACGCTCAACGTAGACTCGGCCGGCGAGCACCACCAACCGGAAGGTGGCGAACTTTCGAGCTCTCCCCACCATCTCCTCTGTGATGCCGGTGGACTTCCACGGTCGGAGATCTTCGTGCACCCAGCGGAAGTAGTCAGGGCAGGAAGGGGACGACTGGGGCACAGAAGAGATAGCAGACGGAGACGGAGATGGAGACAGTGATCTTTGGCACACAGGAGTTGTTTGGTTTCCACAGGCCAAAATTATGGTCTTTGACTGTGGTTTGCGGGGTTGTGAGCTAAGAACTTGTTCATTCTTGGAGCTTATTGTTGTGAGAGTCTACACAAAAGAGACGCTACAAGATCAATTTACAGAGCAATCAATAGATAACACTGTCATCGTAACGAAAGGTTGGAGTATACACTTCCATGATTGATTTCTAAATGATTTAAGGTTCATATGTATCAGAATATTTCAATCTTATATAAAATACATGAGATTTCATCTTAGATCACAAGACAAATTGTTAGCAATTTGAACACACAGAGCCTATTTTGAAGTGTCATTGATGTTTATCGTTCACCAAGAACACAATGGCACTATGTTTGTGCAGCAGTGGGGCTGATGGCTGGGGCACACCCTTTACAAAATGGAGTGGCATAGTGGCTGTCCTGCGAGTGCAATCTCAATTATTGTCACTAAAGTTGCATTCCACTGGAACGAAGCCCATCACATTAATCGCACTAGGAATAATCTCGTAGGCAACTCCGGTTTGGACATTCTCTGTTTGAGTCCTCAATACACCAAGAATCCTAACACTGCTCGATGGTACTGTGGCCAGGAGATTGAACGGGAAGCCAGCAGAAAGAATGATTTAGCCGGAAAGAAACGCGAATTCACTTACTGTGCCATCGATCCAATGCGTGGAGATGACGACGACAAGGACGACGAGTGTGAGGAAGACGACGGCGACTCCCTTCGTCGACGATCGTATTGCAGCTACGGCGCTGTTTGCCTTGTTCTCCAACGACACGTTCATGGCTTTCAAGCATGTCCTCATCTCGGCCTCTCAATCTCTCCTGCTAGTGTATATGCTTGAGCTCCGGCGTCTGCTATTTCCTTGCTCCCTGGATCGAAGAAGAAGAAGAAGAAGAAGAAGAAGAAAAAGAAGACTGAAGAGTTGCGGAGGATGGAAATTCGTCGCGAGGGTTTCCTCTGTTACAACATCCTTTCCACGTTCAACAACACGCCTCTTGGCTTCTCCTCTTCCTCATCTGTCGTTTTGACGTCTAGAATTGGAACTCTGCACACGGGCCACTTTTGGAGTCTTCGATAAAGTAAGTCCATCTTCCACCCTTACCTGCGCGAATTCCATCTCGACGACAATCGAACATCCGGCCTTGGCTTCAGAACATGGACCAACCAATGGAGACGTGCCATGTCAGCAATCTGGACTTGGTCAAATCTCATGCCAACACGGCCACGACCGAGTCATGACTTGTGCAGTAACATCGGGTTGAACTTATTTTGGACATCTCGGTCCGACCAACCCACTGAAACCGGGTTCGTCTTCCCTTTAATCGAGCCTGGATTGGGTTCGCTGAGTCAATTTTACATTCTCTTCACCCACCCCCGTTGTCATTCCATTGCTAAGACACAACAATAGTCCACGCATCATTAGTTTCGTCGACGTGAAAGATTCCCCAACTTCACATGCCTTTAAAAGTATTTCCTGTATGATTGACGTGTTCTCGCAAGTCACATAGCAACACAAATGTATTTGTAGCGGCAAGACATCTAAAATTATGTGGGTTCTTATAATAAAGTCATCAGTATGTTCAAAGCATGAACAAATGCAGCTTCATTGAAGTAGTGTCATCTGGAATATGACTACTAAAGCTGTTCAGCTATTCAGATGAACAGAGGTCCGAGTTTGGCCCATACTACCACACAGAAGATTACCTGCCCAATAGCAGCAGTTCTGCTCGTTCTCATCTCCTCTGTTCCTACAAGTTCTAACCCATACTATCACACAGAAGATTACCCAACCTAGACATCTTTATCGAATACTCCACATGCATTCCTGCCCCAAAGTAGTGCACATTCCGACTCTGGGTGTTGCCAAAACCACTAGTCACAGTTGCAAAGATCAAACCACTCGTTAATAGTATGAAAGGCATCCTGTAATCTCATTAATTTGTTCTAGCAATTTGGATTCATAAGTATCATCTGTGGTTAGCAGCATTCCCAAGTCCAGGAAGCAACAAGACCACGAGCAGAGGAACTCCCTGCAGAGACAACCTATGCAGAGAAGCAATTGAAAACAATCTCCTGCCCCCATCCATCTCCACCAAAAACACTGCTGCTCTCGATGATTCCCACGACGGAAGCTCGAGACTTCCTCTCCTTCTGTTGCTGCTGCTCCTTCCGTAACCCAGAGCCGGTCGTCTTCCCCGACTCGGCTGCCACCGCCGCCTTCTCCTTTCTGCGCCTCACAACGTACTCTTCCGAGATGTACACGTCCATGGTGGCGGTGGTGGAGATCAGGTGAGGCTGCACGTTAGCTCGAAACCTCGGTCGGCGCTGGAGACTCTGCGGGCAGTGCGGTGGCGCATATAAAGAGGCAAGAAAAGGTGGCGAGAAGAGCGGAATCCAGTGGGCTTTAGTCCCACGTTTTGCTTGTTGGGAAACCACGAAATCCACGGTTTGAGGAAACCCATCAAACCTGACTCGTACACGCGTCGAACGCACGGCCACACGTAGTCGATGATGCCTCTCGATGAAAACACTTTTGAATTCCCTAAACATGGAGACGAGCTTTAGTTCTCGTGAAAACATCTGTTTCTGTTTCTTTTAACAAGAAAAAGAAAACGTTTTCCTTCTTTGTGTCGGTCTCAAGTTCTCTGAGGGCGAACCCCGAATTAAAACCCCAACCGAATCAGTTCGGGTTCGCCTGGTACTTTCGGCCGCCGGTCAAGCGTAGAGCCAGAGAGCGACGCAGGCGAGGAGGAAGAGGAGGGATGGTGACCTCGTCGGTGGTGAACACGTACCCCCTCTCGAACTACACGTTCGGGACGAAGGAGCCCAAGATGGAGAAGGACACCTCCGTCGCCGATCGCCTCGCCCGCATGAAGGTCAAGTAAGTCCACCACCCTGATCTCTCCCGAAACCCTAGTCTCGTTTCTTTTCTCTTTCGTACCAAACACTAGTACTATTTGATTTGTGGTAGGCTCCTCCCTTTTGTCCAATCCACGACGTAAGTAGCGGCGGATCGCAAGATCAAAGACAGGGTTGATTTAAGAGTTTTGGCACCTTCCCTAGATCGTAGGTACACTTACATTGATGCTGGAACTGTTGGGGGTAAAAACTCAGTGATAAAATATTAAATCTGATTTAATTAATAAAACAAAAAATAAGAAGATTAGAATTCATTCGGAATCGCGTTTGTGATGCTGTCCTAAGGAATCCTTCACAGGTTTGTGGTTCAAGGATACGACCGGGATTCCTCTTTGGGGGCACGACCGTGGGGAGGTTGACGCTACGAGTAGAAGAATATTTTTCATATAAAATTGATTGATAAATTCATTTATGGCTATGTGTAATCATAACCAATAAATTCAATTAAAGTATGTAAATCAATCAGAAATAACGTATACAAAATAAGGAAACAAGTAAAATAAAAATAAAATTTGAGATTTCTATTTTTAAAATATAAAATATCTAACAGAAATGGTGCATAAAGTCCATTGTTAGGTCCAGTTTTATACAGTTGAATCCATACTCTGCGGTTGACACGTAAATGTCATGACTGGATTTGGAGGCTAATAATACTCCTCTTTTCTGATAAAGTTTATTGTCCAAAAGTCACATCTTGTAACGGTTGTGGACTAAGTAGTGGCACCTGGAATGATGGTGGCTTGAAACAAGGATCAGATAAGTTGCAAACTTTAGGTTAAATAGCAGATTGCTGTAGAATTAGTAGGTAATATGAGGTTACTTGTGGACTCCAATCAACAAGAAAGTTGTATCGATCCACTGTATTCTTTACCATGCTCATAACAGTTATTTACTCATTGATTGGATAGATTAAGATTCTTACTAAAAGTATACTTTGATCCATGATTCGCATTACCGGTCAATACCGGTGTATCAACCAACTATCAATATGGTACGTACCAAGTTGTATCGAGCGTGCTGACACATGGTACACTGGGGTGTACCGATGTACTGCCCGTATCGGTCCTCTATCGGACTGGTACGTACTGCTTGTACTGAGCAGTACACCAAACCTTGTTCTGATCTCTCTCTTGAAAACCATGATAATTGGTGTTTTAGTTTTTTTTTTTTGGGTCAATATCCAGGCGTATATGTTAGGAAGGACAAAGTCGTAGTATGCTTTTAATTGTAGAAGCACTAAAAGTTTGCATGACTTAGCTTTTTTATTCTTGTTTCTTATTGGAATGGTGCTCTCTTATAGCTTTTTTTTTTCCTGTTTCCTATTCGGTGCTCTCTTACCAGAAAAGGATAGAATTGCATGCGCCTGCATGTTGAATTTCCAACTCCTTGTATGACCTGTGGTTGATAAGTTTGCTTCTTACATGCAATCTTAATTGAGCACTTAATGTTATTGTGGGTAGTTTCATCTTCCCTGGGAAATGATATGCACTTAATGTTATTGTTTGATGGGATTATATGCACTGTATGAAGCACTGCAAGTCAACAAATATGAAAATTTTGATTGAATGAATATTAGTTCATGTAAGTTGTGTTTACTGGCTGGGTCTGTAAAACTCAAGGCTCATTAAGAAATTGATGATTACCATCTTTAACATGTATCCCTATTCAAAGTGAATATTTTGGAACTTGTATCATGTATGTTTCTCCACTATTTGTTTTCAGGTTTAAGCTATTTGCTTGTATTTTCCATTGAAAATGGAAAAATATTTTAACATTCTGTGAAAGGCTATATCAACTTACTGTGTTAATGAAATGGAATTGCTTCTTCTACCTCTTAGCATTGAGGCACCCATTTGATCATCAACTATGGATTGGAGGCATCTTTAGAGGAATTTAGGCTACTTTTCTTATTGATTTGCTAATGATGTCATACTAAATTTTCAATTAATAACTGGAAGCCTGAGTTGTAGCTAATGTGTACTTCTTTTTCCTCAAGACTGTCATGATTACTTTAACTATATTAGATGTTATTTTGTCAAAATCCATTTTTACGTGTGATCGCTATTCTTTACAACGTCACAGCTAAAACATTCTTGCTTGATACTAACCTTTTAAGCCATTGTAAGGCACAAGGCAAAATGCCTTGGTTGCATATTCTTAGAATGGTGACTACCATTGCTAATTGATGCTCACCTTACAAATTATTCCTGTTGATTTTTTTTTCCATTTTGTTGTTTTGTTGGTTGCAAACAGCACATTGCTTGAAGGACCTATCATATGATTCTATGTCATGTAATTTTCTTTCTTTTAAAAAGGATGTTACTGGTGAAGTGACTTTATTCTTAAAGATGTAACAAAAGAAAGACGATGAAGGCACCAAGAGTGGGCAAATATTGGTTGAATTGTCAACTGCAATTAAGGAAATTTTCATAATTTAGCAGTCTTTGAAGTTGTACATTTCTAAAACTTTTATGGTTATTGTCAAACAGCAACTTCTGTTTTCATACAAAACCAAGTGCCGCAATTGCCCATAATTTGGCACTGGGACTATCCATAAATAGAAATTTGTGAATTGAATTGTCATTTCTAAAACTTCTGTTTTCATACAAAACCAAATGTTGGTTGAATTGTCAACTGCAATTAAGGAAATTTTCATAATTTAGCAGTCTTTGAAGTTGTACATTTCTAAAACTTTTATGGTAATTGTCAAACAGCAACTTCTGTTTTCATACAAAACCAAGTACCGCAATTGCCCATAATTTGGCACTGGGACTATCCATAAATAGAAATTTGTGAATTGATAGTAACTGATAGTAGAATGAAAACCACTGTTGTTTTCTTGTCAGAAATTTTGGAACTTATATTGGAGAAAGCCCTTTGGCATTTCTCATCTCTTATGGCACATCCCTAATGTGTCGTACTGGAACTTTTGAATTCTTCTGTTGTTTGACTTCTTCTTTTCTTTTGATTCAGCTATATG